GGATGGGTATTTGCCACATTACCTGACGAGGATGAAAAACTGAAGAAGAAATAAGAGCATTACACTTTTAAATGCGATTGGGTATCCCAGGAAAGATGCAAATTTCCTCTACGTCATTAATTATTTCACATATTTTTTGATGCCCTCCTATACTGAAGAGAAAAACAAAATGCGGTATTTTGTTCAAAATTGGGCTATTCTAGGACTTGTTAATAGGCTAAACCTTGTTTTGTATAGCGTTTAGGATCTTACACACACAAAGAGATACGCACAAACTTCAGAAGGATACCATGTGTGCATGTGTGAGGATAATTGTGCAGAGATACAAAGGGTAGGTGAGAGTTTGACATTTTTTGTAGGACACCATCTAAATGCAATCTGTCACGGTGGCTAGTCGGCACCGGAGACGAGGGTTTGAATCGGCGCGTGTAGACCGGTATTATAGTCCTGTTCATATCTAGTTTCCCATTTTCTGATAGTCTGTCTAGAAAACCATTTTGTGCGGCCTGTCGGCATGGCTCAGCGAAAAAGGCCTCATAAGATAGGCAGTTAGCATGCGACCATTTGCCTGTGAACTGAGCGCTCGCATGACCTTCGCATCGATGGACTTCTGATCACTACGACGCTGTTCGCTTACATGGTAGACACTTTTTTGTGCTGTTACGCCATCTTCATATCGCAGAAGCCCCGAAGACGGCTTGACAGCTTCCATTCTGCTCTTTCGGCTCGTCCTAGCAAAGTATTCACGCTTGTGCATTTCTCTTGGCAGCTGAAACTGAAGGGAAAAAATGCGAAATGACTGGGCATTTAGTTAACATATCACAAATTTCCAAGAATGAACTTCGTGATTGTCATTGTCAATTCTGAGAATCAAGTCGATTATGTCTTGAAATCACCAGCTCTGGTACTCCCTTACTGAGGTGGAGTAGCAAAATGCAAGCCCCCTAAGTGCAGGTGCCTAAATATAGATACTACTATTAATATTGAAAGTAAGTTTTTGTCTGAATATATATATTTATTGTTAGGGGGACTTTCATTTCGTATGAAAGTGAATGAAGAAGAGATTCATTGGTCGACCTCACCAGATGAAGACGGATAAATCTCGTTATACTGCATCTATTTGGCTTGTATGCGATATTCATGTTGACGCAGTCCATGAGACTTCCTCGCTCGTTTCGGGTAAAAACGTGTTGAGCTTTCGTGCATCATATAATGTACGTACGGTTCGACTTCTTGCTACACTATAACAAGAAAACGACATCTCGGCAAGTTAATATGATTAGATTTTTAAAAATTTGTATTTCTCATAATGTTGTTTCTATGTGTTGTTTACTTGGTAGACGTTATAATCTACCGATATCCACAAATAAGGAACTTGATCAGGTAGTTAAAACTAGGCTCAAGGAAGGCATTAATAAACTCCACAAACTAATTAGAACCAAAACTTATTTTAGGCAATCCCTGTCTGAAATATTGAATAATGTGGATTTCATTAAGTTACAAGACAAGGCTGACGGGTTATGAGAGGCGACTGGCAGAACTACTCGTCGGATAAATGATAAGAAGCTCCGGAAAGATTTTCATCTTTGTAGGATTTATAGATATCTGTGCAACACTAATCTAATCATAACGAAACCCGACAAATGTGGAGCAGTGGTAGTCGTGGATAATTTAAGCTATGTAGAAAAAATTCTAGTTCATTTAAATGACAATGACACGTATAGGCCTTTAATAAGAGACTCCCCACAAAGACTTAAAAAGTGGGTTGACCTCGTTGTCGCAACTTGGTCTTGTTGTCATAGCGACTTAGCAGAACGCACCTAGTCCGAAGTCGTTTGCCATAGTAGTTGTCATGATTCCCAACATCAGACAGTGGTCTTGGTACATTCTCAAACGTTTTGCCGGCATCGTAGTCGGCATTATCAGTGAGTTTTGCCATTCTCCGCACCAAGCTACGAACTCGTCAAAGA